GATTAACTGATTTGTCTGTTCAACGGCACGTCAACTCTTTATGGGCCGTTAATACCGAAATTTAAATTTCTTGGATGTTTGGAAGTAATAAAAATGTTATTTTGCTTTCACAATTTCATACATGGTAGATGATACTCAACTTGAGTAAATTGTCGCCATATTATATTTTTAACTCCGTGCATGCACATTTTTTTTTATTTTGTCGACTGTACAGTATAGTAAGATTGGTTGGACACTATCTGTGAAAAAAGAGCACCATGACGCCATACACTCCGCCAGAAATTTTGAAATGGCATGCTGCACTGCTTTACATTCGCGCTGCAAGTTCCAGTACGGACATTTCAGTGTTTGGATATCAAATCTAAGGTCAGTGCAGAGGATTCGGAAAGATGAATCTAATAGTGATCTGTCATCTCGTCTACAATCACTTTCTCACAGACGCGCCGTCGTCTCTCTCTGACTGTTTTACAAATATTTTCATGGCAATTGCTCCGAGGAGCTGCATTCGCTGGTTCCCAGATTTCATGAGTTCAAGCGCCCTACGAGGCTGGCATCCCGCTCTCACCCCTTCACTGTCGAAACTCCTAAATGTAGCCGTCTCTTCTACTCCAATGTCTCGCACCTCTTGCCTGTGGAAGTCCCTTCCCCATTCCAGTTTCCCTGAGAGCTATAATCTCCAGCTATTCAAATGTAATGTCAATCGACATCTCCAGTTGCCTTGATCTATCCACTACACTTCTCCTCATCCTTTCTTCTATCACTCCTATCTGATCTTGCTCCAAATTTTCTGTAACCCCTTGCGTCCTAGTGGCTTCCCGCCTTGCTTGGGGTGAAACGCTTAAAAAAAAAAAAAAAAAAGATTACGAAGATGTTTCGAGTGATCACTAATGATGGCGACGCTATGCCCCCATTCATCTTCCCACAGGGCCTCAAACTCATCAAGGAGGCCTACATAAAGAGTCTTGAGGAGATAGTGCTGCCTGGGTTAAGAGAGCGACTGTAGAAAGACCCTATGTCTGACAAGAAGACTCTGCACCATGCCACACAAGCAGGAGAACCCAGTCATGGTTCTCAAACATTTTCTGCGACTACATCCCTTACATCTGACTACCTAACTTCCCAGACCTGCAATTATTATGATTATTATGTGTGGAGCGCAGTTGAAGGGTACCAGCAAATCTCCTTGTAACACCAAAGATGAACTGAAGTCAAGGCTTGTGGAAGCATTCATCAACAAACAAGGAGGCCGTCCAGAAGAGATGCAGGAGATTCCGAAGTTGTTTTGAAGCCGTGGCTGCAACCAATGGTGATTTTATTGAATATATTTACTCTTTAATATTTCAGTATATTTTTGTGTAATTTTGGTAAATACATGTGTTAAAATGAGAAGTTAGTGTTATTTTATTTTTTGCGTAATTTCGATGAAAATTTATTAATTGCACGTTGTATATGTGTTTGTGTAGACATAATTACTAGAGATTGTGTTACACGAGTTTTAGATTGCAGTTATACTTTGGAATACATTTTGATTTAAGAAATTACAGCCATGAAAGAGTTCATGTTGGTTGTTTGGTATTTTAAACGGATTTGGGTGGAATTACTACAATTGTTACTATGTGCGTACTGTTGGTAATTTTTCTACTAATATGTATTGCTGGTAAGTTTGTTTTTATATAAAAATGTATTGCTGGTATTTTTACTATAATAATGTATTTTTATAGTTACATAGTGTTTTGTTTGGGATTTCACTATTTGCTCATATTTGGGATATTCGAAAAATTTCGTAGAAATCTATAACGTATAAACAGAAAATATATTAAATATTTGTCGGGTTTAATCCATTTCCTACAATATGTTATCCTTTTTATGTTAGGATTCAAAATCAGGGCAAATATGGCATATCGAGAAAAATTGGAGAAGGTGTGTAATTAAAAGCAGTAATTCGAGGTTTCCTTAAACGGGATTTCTTTGTGACAAAACGGTTACAGCACGCAAAGTTTAATGGTGGTTCCGTATAGGATGCAATTTCGATTCCTGTCGGTGAACGCATATTTTCCATGAAATTTCTCAAACATTCAGGCGGGTAAATTTAATCAATTCTATTAATTAAAAAGAACAGTGCATTTACTCAAATAATTGTATCCATAAAAAATAACATATAAGCAGAAAATATATTAAATATCTGACGGATTTAATCCATTTCCTATAATATACGCGGAAAATGTAACACCTTTTTTATTTATTAAATTGACCAGAAATAAATAACAGTTAAGAAAATTCTACGTATAAGTTTTGTCACATCAAAATAACAAGATTTGTTATGATTAACAAACTATTTAAAATGATCAAAATGCTCCCAATTCCTGTTCAGTACAAAGCGGAACACTATCAGTAACTCTTCTACAAACATTTTGACACATTTTTACATTAATTTCAGAAAATTCATCAGAAATTGCATGCTTTAATTCAGGAATTGTTTTTGGTTTGAGCCTATAAACAAGATCTTTCAGTACACAGCACGAGAAAAAGTCTGGTGGTATCGATTCTGGTGATCACGGTAGTCATTCAACTGCTCCATGTCGTTCTGTCCACCTCAACTCGAAATTAAGATTTAACCGTTCCGGAACCCGTAAGCCATAGTTAATCTTAAGCCATTTTAAACTCCTTTAGCTTATTTTTCTTCAATAAAGGTAAATAAAAAGGGCGTTATTTTTACATACCCTATATATGTACATGCTCTGTTAATAATAAACATTATTAATAACATTTACCGGTTAGAATGTCCGAAAAATTTCATAGAAAATACATGTTTTCCGTGTAGGATACAGGTTCGATTTCTGTCAGATACATATTTTCTATTAAATTTCTCGGACGTTCGATACCATATATATATATATATATATATATATATATATATATATATATATATATATATATATATTCATGAACTATTCACACAAAAACAAATGCAAAGGTTAATGATTTAATTGGCGAGAAATCCATCGTCGCAAACAATTCAAATAATATACAAAAACCTCCGAATCCGTTATGAATGAAAAGATCCTTGTTTCCATAAATTTCTGCCGCATTAGTTCTTATTTTTACTACAAGCTTTCGTCTGTTCCTACAGACATCTTCAGGTATGGAATGGATGTTGTTCTTGTTTTTTCTCTTAGTAATAAGAGGACAACGAAAATATATGTATTGTTGTATCCGAAAATGCTATTGGAAATGAGTTATTGTTTTTGGAGCGTGCAATAGCAACGCTGAGTTTGATTTTAAATTTTTTACAGTTGTGCGTTCATGTACAAATATGGTGATGAACGAATTTTTTACTGGTAAATTTTCTGTCAAAGTGGCATGAACTATATTGTTCAATAATTACAGTAATGTCGCACTTATTATCCAAAAGTCGCACTTGGATCAGTTATTTTAATTTCGATAGACGTGCAATCAATTTACAAATTCATGAACTATTCATTAAAAACAAATGCAAAGGTTAATGATAATGATATATATAGGGGTATCGAGCACTATATATATCTCTGTATAGGTATTGAGCACTATATATATATATGTATATATATATATATATATATATATATATATATATATATATATATATATATATATATATATATATAGTGCTCGATACCCTATATATCATTATCATTAACCTTGCATATGAATAAAAATGACAATAGGAAAACTGGTAATTGCTGACGCGTTTCGTCCAATGTGGACTTTATCAAAGCAAAATACGAAAATGAAATTAATTGAATAAAGTTACTAATAAAAACAAAATCAGAATATACCTAGCAACTGGATTGTAGAGAAACGCTATTTTCATATTTTTAACTGAAAAATAACGTCAGTATTTGTCACGTGTGGAGAATATTGTCATTATATCTAATATATATATATATATAGTATTGAGCACTGTTTTGTAAAAATAAAAATATCAACAAGAACACCGGATTATATATTATTTTTTTCTTTCTAGCATCGGATATAACATGTCACTGCATTGACATTTGTTATTGCGTAAATTGATGTGGTGTTCTATATTTATTAATTCGTTTTAGCGGTTTTAACCTGAGTGTTGGTATACGTGGATGTGGTTATATATGTATGAATGTTTTTCTCGATACTGTTTATATAATATCGGATAGTTTTCTAGATATTTCTGTATACGGAGGTTTATAATAATTTAGAATTGAGATTCATTTGTAGAATTAATAGAGGTACACTGGTTATTCTCCCTGTCTCTTATTTTGATTTTGACTACTAATAAATTTTCCGTTTTAATTTGAATCTTTTTTTATTTATTTTTTTATGTTTTTATAATCTATATTTTTTTTATACTTTTTTATTTATTTTTTTATGTTTTTATAATCTATATTTTTTTTATTTTTATTTTACTACAGATATTATTACTGTCGTTCATTACGATTATTATTATTAATTTATCATTATTATTTTTTATTAGATTATTATTGATTATTTTTTTTTTTATTATTTTTTATTTCTTTATCGGGATTCCTATTTTATTATTACTATTATTGTTACTGTTATCTTCCTTATTTCTAATTTGATTTTTAAGTACATATTAGTTAAATCTTTTTTTTATTTTATATATATATATATATATATATATATATATATATGTGTGTGTGTGTATACGTATATATGTGTGTGTATATATATATATATGTACGTATATATGTATATATGAGTGTTGGTTGTTGCTGCCATGTAGGTTAGGTTTGTTAGGTAGGGTACTACTTATACTCACCAATTCCTTATCTAACGTCTCTGGATCACCACAAGGAATTGGTCAGTATAAGTAGTACCCTACAACGTAACAACTACCCTGGGTACATGGATTAAATATTTTTATATATTTATGTTAAATTTCTAATCTGTAAGGGAAAATTACATGCTTTTTCAAATTGTTCTTGATTACACATTATTTCTCTTTTAAATGCCCCTGATTTATTATGGCCTTTTCTCTTTCTTTCTTTCTTTCTTTCTTTCTTTTCTTTCTTTCTTTCTTTCTTTTCCTCCCAAACTTTTTTCCTTCTCGCCCTCTCTTTTCTCTTTCTTCTTCTCCTTTCATGTATACATTAGTAAATGCAAACCAGACGACAAATTTTCATGTACACATCGGCATCGTAAATTAGCTAGACGTTAAATTTCGATCGTCTAATGACTTTCCTTTTCCCTCCTTCTTTGTATGTAATGTCACCACAAATGTATCCATACTTTTCCATTGTCTGTTTTTTTTTTTTTTAATTTAGTTCTACGAATCGGAAGCCGATTTATGCAACTGACAATAACTCATATTTATCTCTATCTCACTCTTTTAAACCATTATTCAACTTCTCTCTTTAAAATCTTATTCCCCACCCTCTCTTTACGACCTTTCCTGTTCTTTCTTCATGTTTTACCCCTCTCCAGAGGTTTTATACATTTCCCTCTCACCCTTGTTTCTCATTCAACACATACACTCTCATTAAAGTTTTGTTGTTTTTTTAAACCCGGAGATATATTTTCTGTTTTCTTTTTGAATTTATAGATCTGATTAATTGGGCCATGATTCCAATGTAACAAATTATAACCATGAAATATTAGTGTTTGAGCCTTTTATACTGTATTCTTGCTCCGTCTGTGGCATAAAGCTCTACCTGGGCTATATCCTCTTATATATATATTGACCACTAATATTATCAATATATATATATATATATATATATATATATATATATATATGTATGTATATGTGCGTGTGTTTTGCGTGCGTTCATCTGTGTGTGTTCGTGTGCGTGTGTTTGTGCGTGTAATATATAATCAAAAATAATCACAAAGAGGTAAAAAGCGTCTTTGATGATACAAAAGTGCTCAATGCTTCATAGCAGAGCAAATATTCTTATTATGCATAAGAAATGTGTCTCCAATGGCCGACCTGTTTCATGTGGACAATTATAACACAGTCTCCAGGTGACCTACACAACATGCTATAATGACAGCATTAAATAAACAGCATAGAGAATGTTTCGGTTTTCCGAATTCTATATTGTTTTTTCATTGTTTATATCTTGTGATATTAGTGCATGTGTGTGTGTGTGTGTGTGTGTGTGTGTGTGTCTGAATTCTGGTGGCATTTTTTGTATATCTCGTAGTGTCTGTGGGTCCATGTCTAATTCCTGAAGACGGTACCAAAGAGAAATAGGAATTAAGTGTACGCAACAAATTTCTAGTTGGGCGTGCGTTGACTACTAATAGATTCCGTGCGTGGATTAACATTGGAATAAAATAATCATATACGATCCAATATGTCTTATCCGACTTACCCACAACACACTGATGCATTTCGTCTATCGCATCCAGCGCCTCCAAGAAAGTAGCAAAAGCAATTGCAAAAATTCTAACTCGATTTATCGGTACCATCAATCCATCACACATTCTGTCGATCTAATCGAATCAGTAAAAACCAGATATGAAAAACTTAATTATGGCAAGACTAGAAGTCAAATCATTGTACACCAATATATCTGTTCAAAATAACTTAACATTCTAAAAAGACATTTTACCAAAGGTAAAGATTGATTATATATATATATATATATATATATATATATATATATATATATATATATATATATACTAGCCGAATTACTGCGCCTTGCTGAAGTGTTCGGTAAACACAATGAGGAAAGAACACCTAGAGAATTTAAGACTCACGTGACACACAAATGCAAGAGAGGGCGAAGAAAGCAGTGTGTGTACTATTAACAAATATATATATATTGACCACTAATATGATCAATATATACATACATACACACACACACACACACACACACACATATATATATATATATGTATGGACACAGGATCTGATAATTGCATGCATCTCTCTGTCAGCATGCTGTGTTGAATTCTATGAAGACATTCTTTCTATCTAAAAAGGTTATTGTCCCGATATTGAGTAGTCATTGCAAAGAATATTTAAAGAAAGAAAGAAAGAACAGTTACTTTTTGGAACAATTTCACGAAAGAAAGCATTTCTGACAATTACAATCTTAACCTCTTTAAGACAAGGTCAGCCTTATTCCTAAATATCTTCATATCTGCACTTGTCTGGCCCCTTTTTATCTCTTAACCACAACCCCGTTTAATAACCCTCTAACTTGAGTGAAACTTGGGGCTTCTATTAGAGGAAAATTAGTATAACAAAAATAATAAATAAAAAAAAAATGAAAAACAGTTAATTTCATCAATCTGTTCTAATACGGACATACATTTTACGATATCAACGGAAATATGTATATATACGATTTTTATGATATGAACAGTAATATGTATATGTATATATGTTCAAATGCCCTTTAAGGAACTGCGTTCCTCACCAAACCGGACTCATAAATAATTACATCGGCTATACAACCACATGTTTATCCAGACGTCTTACATTACACCTATCTGATCACAGTTCCATCAGAACACATTTAAACACACACTTAGATTTACCCGACACTATTAGGAACATACTAGTAGAAAACACAAATATATTAACTGCATCCACTTGCAAAAAAAGACTAAAAATAATGGAAGCTCTAATAATAAAAAAGAAAAAGCCAACTCTTAACAATATTAACTATGAACAAAGCCATAATGTGCTAACCGTATTCGGAAACTAAAAACATCACTACCACACACTGAACATACACAGAACACACACACTCTACTAAGCTGATAATTGAATCATCCTTGATAATGGCTAAAGGTATAGCCGAAAGCGCTCGGAAATACAGAACATTCGGACAGTTCTTACACACTTTTGTCCAGAAAAGAAAGCTCTTGTCAGAACACAAGAAAAATTAAATAAAAAGCTCAACCGTAGTACCTTGTCTGTCGTTTTTAATGAAACATGCATAAAGGAAGGATTGCTGCCTAAATATACAAATATATATATATATATATACACACACACACACACACACACACACACACATATATATATATATATATATATATATATATATATATGTGACTATTGCACCGTATATGAAATTCATAGTTGTGCTACTTGTGAAGAAAAAAAAGCATATTTTTTATTCATATAAATTTTAGCTCAGTTATCATGCATCGTGCATTTTATTATTGGCACGAGTACACAATATCAGGTTATATATATATATATATATATATATGTTAAGAAATGGACATGGTCCGACAATTTATTTATTAAAGACATTTTTATTTATGTTTAACGTTGTTATTTTATAGATACAAGTATTTAAGCAAATGCTCTGTTTAAGATAAACAGTATTAAATATTTTCTATGAAAATTTCTCGGACATTCAGGCCGGTAAATGTTATTTAATACTGTTTATCTTAAACAGAGCATTTGCTTAAATACTTGTATCTATAAAATAACAACGTTAAACATAAATAAAAATGTCTTTAATAAATATATATATATATATTTGTGTGTATGTGTTTGTGTGTGCCGGGTGTAACAACAAAATTGTATACATAGTGTAACGGCATAACTGGCTATCCCATAAAAAGTTTAATATATAAAAAACACTAAACTAATTTAGCCTCTTTTTTTTCGGATTTTCTGATAGGACGTTTAACCATCTTGACACTCTTTGTCGTAAAAATCACTGAAAAACCCTTTGAGCTATTCAGCTAGAGAGAACAAGTTAAAAACGTTTTGTGCCACTGTCTTCTCAAATGAGCAATGGTGAGAGGAAAAAGATCAGTGAGGCTTTCAGTAATGGAACCCACATTTATACTCTGACTTTTATCTTCAAAGTCCATTCAAGAACCATCAAGAGAACGGCGAATAAGTTTAAAAGAGGGAATAGTTGAGAGGGAAATTGGATCAGGAGGTCACAAGAGGAAAAAAGGGATCATCATTTCAACTTCGACCTAAAGAGATCAATTAGAAAAGATCCAACTCAATCTATAAGATATTTAGGACGTGAGAGAAGAGTTTCCGCTATGACAATCCAAAGACCAGTAACCTTGAAGACTTGAAAATTAATCGTGCGTGAAACCTGTGAGGCACCTTGTTACTCCGGGGCAGAAATTTAGACGGTTATACAGAGCAAAGATCATCTTAAGTAAATTACAAAATCATATTGGATTAGTTATAACAAATTCTGTAAGGACTTAAGGAAGTTGAACTCTGGATAAGTTGTGCTGGGGGTACTCTTGTTCATCACTATAAAATACAACAATATTCACCTAAAAGCTAGGACTATGTTGTTAAAAAACCTCGTCACTTGCCATTTTACATATGGATGTCATCAATGGCGTCCAACTCGTTATCAATTGTTCAAACTATCATGTGTATTCAACAGTTTTTTTTTTCAGATAAATGATTAAAACTAGTTTCAAACGAATAAATACTCTCAAATATTAAAGAAGAATTCGTTATCAAACTCTATAGTCTTGCTCGACAAAATCACAATGATTTATAGCAAATAACAAAAACACATCAATCGAACACTTCCAGCAGCAGCAGCAGCAGCAATAAAAAAAATTACGCCATATCTAACTGGAAACAAAAGTATGGTACAACCACGATGTTAATTTTCCACACTAAATAAATTGGTCTTTGGATTGTCATTCTTCCCCCGTTGCATTGTACAAGCTTGATTAGAGGCTAGTTTTTGTTTTGTTTTGTTTGTTTAACGGCATATCAACTCGATATGTCACATTTAATGCCGAAATTTAATTTCTTGGAAGCTTTGAAGTAATAAAAATATGATATATGTTATCATTTTTTAATCGGAATCACCCCAAGCAAGGCAATAATGCCACTAAAACACAAGGGGTTACAGATTGTGGAAGAATTAGGAACAGAAACATTAATGAACAGAAAGAAAAAAAAGATAATCAGGTGGACAGTAGATAGCGATTGACATTGCATTTAAAGTTTTTACAGGTTAAAGTTGACTGGAAAGAATTGAGCCGGAAGGTATTTCCACAAGCGAGAGAAGTAACTGTTAGTATAGAATTTACGGCAACATCTTGCTAGATCAACTGTAAATTGATGAGATCTCGACGCCTGTCTAGTGCTGCGCTTAAATTAAAAAAGGA